TGGATTACCCCAGTCCTTCCCTAGGGTCGCACGATGTATCGGACGTACGTACAAACATTTTGTCACCGTGTTGGACAGTTTTACCAAAATACCCAGCCCGCTGCAAAGTAAGTTCGCTGTCTGTAATATTTTCTTTCGTTAAGTGACATCGCCTCGAATGAGCCGTAATAACGCTCACCTGTTACATTGACTAAGAGGCACCAACTTACTTGCTCCAAATCCTCTTTCGTTGCGTGACAACAATCCTAATTAGCATCTGACCATGAAGAAAACCCAAAAGGAAATTGAGCCGAATTCAGTCTTTATTAGAGGGCCTTTTAGTTGCTGAGACTCCAAACTCAAAAAGGGCTTCGTTTGAGCAGAAAAGAATTGTATTCGTTACGATTTTGAAAATTGCTGAAATCGACAACCCGCTGTAAATGAGCTTTTAAATTTGCATAATATACGAGTAGATGAAGAATTCCTACATGTATTTTATGACATTTTATTTCGGTTTGCAGGCCTAAGATGGCTTACAAAACACCAAATGTGCGTTATTTTGACGAAGCATTCCAAGATTCTGCCCCTTGGGAAAAATATCAGCCTTGCCATATAAGTTAAGTGTAGGCGCCAAACGTTCAATTTTAGGTAAATATTGACAAAAGGAGCTCCCAAAAACGCTTGTTCGCATCCGACGCAGAATGATACCCGCACCTTTGACTTTATTTTCTAACAGAATAAGGTAAGATCTTTGCTGTGAAGTGCATTTTGCCTGTGATTTTTGTACCGCTTTGGAGATTTTAGCTTTTACTTTGGAGGAATTTGTCAAGGGAGAAAAAAAACCGCAAAGTGGCTCGTCTTTTGATCTTATTAATTTAATTTAATTTTGCGTCAAATTATCCAAGATTCCGTCATAAGACAAGTCAAATGCCGCTAAATACATTGTACTATGTAGAATTTCGCGATATTTATCCGTTAAGAAGAAGTGCGGCTTTTAAAATTACTGAATTATGTCCAATGAATAAAGTTGAAAAAGCGCTCTCAGACAGGAAAGAAGTTTTGTGCTGTAGCGAAGCACAGAAAAAGATTTTGAAAAAAATTAGCTCGATTTTAATCATTCCTCATTAAGTCCTTTTCACCCACAATAAAATACAGGGAAGGTTTACTGGCGATCCCAAACTCGCCGGACCGCTCTTAGGTGGACAGCCACTTAACTTGTTACAGATGAAGATATACGCCCGTGGTCGAAGGGGTGAATGTCTACCATGTTAGATTTCTTGATTTGAAGATTATGTGATCGAAGAAGCTCGTAGAGGAGTCGCGGTTCTCACTAGAATGTGTATGTCAATATCTAAAGACGGTGAGAAAAGACGAATCTATCTGTGGGAGGGATCTTTAGCTATGCGCTTCCATATCCCACCTCAACAAATATGAAGCCCTGGAAATGCTCGAATCTCTCCACCGTACACTTGAGGACATTAGGTATGAGTGGCAGGATTTTACCGCTTAATATCAGAAGGTGCGCGGGAAGATGGATATGCCTCATGATCAGCTAAAAGCTTGATCCCTCGCCTGTTGGGCGATAAGGATCACGAGAAAGTGTTTTATGTCGTGGCGAAGGTGGAAAAAATTGTTGAAGGTGTAACCGCGGGGGTCTACGATGATCCTTCTCAGGAGAGAGGATATCGGGATCGGAAAGGAACGGTGCGGCAGGCTGTTATAACTTCGTTTAAGGAGGTCACTTTCAGGTCAATTGTAATCAACGGAAGTAGGGATCGTCTTGCTTTGGAAGAAAAGAATGGGGTTCCTCAGTGGCTAACAAACTGACGAGTGAACAGTACGACAAATTAAAGTGTTGGCTGAAGAAATTTGTTTGATTTTGATTTTCTGAATCTCGTAAATAAATGTGTCTTAATTGCACGTGTCCTTAGTATGAGTGATTTTTTTTATTTTATCATGATTATAATTTCGTTGGTCACGGAGGTTTGATAGTTTTGCAAACAGGGTCTCTAGTTTTCCTCCCAGGAATTCTGGGTCAAAACTGTCATCTCTCTGTTAACTGTTGGGGGCTCTCCCTCGAAACGGCTTGAATTTTGACGATTTCTTATTAGGAATCATATCTTATTGGATTCTGACGGAGAATTTAGTCGGATTATTATAAGTAGAGGATTTGCAGCGAATACCATACAGCGGGTAAATTCAGGGGAACCCCCAACTAAGTCGGCAAGGGGATGACGGCAGATGAAGTCCGTCTCTGAAAGTAAGGTTGTAGGTATGGTGCAGGGCAAGGATATTGGCAAGTCAAGAGTTATTTTTGAGACACGAATCAGTTCGGAGCTGGAGGATTGTATTTCCAGTTATCGTTTTGGAAGATTCTTGCGGAACGAAGCCCTTTGACAATGTAAACGGGAGTTTATTTAAGATGCATCAGAGACAAGGTCTATTTTTTCCCATATTTCCAGCATTACAGGGTCTTTTAACGACGGCTGCATGTCATCGGATCGTTCCCTGAAGGAATATTTAGAAATATTATATCTTAAAGTAGCTTTGTGAATTTTGTTCGGAAAACTGTAGTTGACCTTCTGACTATTGGGGCGAGTCTCGTTACTGGAAAGGTGGATGATGCTGAACCGCCTTATATTGCGCTACCTTTGAGTAGAGCCATTGAAGCCACTTCTCTGCCATGATGCGCGCTATCTATCTCTATGGATGTGCGACAAGGAATTTCTGCGATGCGTCGCGGAGTATGCGTACACAAATGTGCCTGAAATGACAAATCTAGGTAGGACAACATCATTTTAACGGAAAATAGTAACACTTTTTCGGGATCCACTGGTTTCGATTTCACTATTAAAGTGCTCTTTGCAGTAGTTGGCATATGGCTTTTATTGTTTGTTGTTTGAAAAGGCTTCGTGTCAATTTTCAGCAGAAAAATTGGTGGCCTGAAGAGGACGCAAAATCCAATTTTGAAACTTTTACAGGAAGCTTAATACCTTTCTCTTAAACCTTCGTCTCAGAGTCTTGCCTGACAAAGGTGAACTTACTTTTTAACTTCCCGTCGGAAAAACAAACCGGTCCAAAATTTGAATAAAATTTCGTGCGGACAATAGCCTTCCCCTGGGGAATCAATCCGCACCACCACAGATTTGGTGGCTGGGACTACATGCATGTTTTAAAAAAAAGGATGGGTGATGGACTTCTTTCGTTTTTAAACGATTAAAATCGGTGTTCTATGTGTTCTTTATAATGATGATCGATACAAGGGAAGTGGCTTATCTTGGTAAGGTGGGTTATTCTCTGGGTTTATCAACATCCATCTTGACCTCGTAAAGATTGTCCCATGGAGTTGATTTCCAGCAGATTGAAAACGCACTGAAATTCATTAAGCTTGTTGGGAAGACACTTGAATTTACTTAATGTCTCTGTAAGATCTTAGCAACGTCTTGCACTGGGAAAGTATGCTTCCTTTTCTTGGGCAGTGCCTGCGGCCTAGTTATTTGCAAGAGAAATGAATCCAGCCGTTTTAAAACGTTGACGTTCTCAATAGCCGAATTTCATCTACGTAGTGTCGTTAGGGAAGAGATTTCCTACTGTTTTTTTCCTGGAAACTTGGGATAGTCTACTATCCACTACTATAGCGGGGTGAACGTCACATTGAAGTCTCAGTAGTCACCTGCTTCTGTATTGGGATGAGGAGCTACAATTTTTCCCTTGATTCGTCGCGATGTTTTCGACTGCTGGACTGGGGTGGTGTTGACATGTAATAGTTTAACGAAGGAAGCTACGACAATTATCAAGATGCGTTGGTTGTGTTGAGATCAGGAGTGTAACGCACAAGTGAATGCGCTGGTTGACAATCAGGCGATCATCCATGCCTGACATAACCAAGGAGGAAGACGTGCACATTCTAAAAATCCAATGAAGATATTATTTGCGACTATGGTAGAATTGAAAGTCTTACTGCGCCTTTTCTATGTCGCTTCCGCTGAGGATCCAGCTGATCAGCCTCCCTGTCATAGGGCCTTATCAGATTACCGCTTGACGGATATTATGTGGCAGAACGTTCAGTGGTTGTTCGGGTATTCTACAAGTCATATGTCTGACTTGATGGCGTTAGATTCACTCGTGATGACGACTTGGTCTGGAAATAGTCTTCCCTACTCTGTACCAGGTTCTTCCCGAGGAAATTCGGGCGTCAACCTCTTTGCATAGGATCTGACATAAAACGGTAGCCTTATGAAACGCCCAGGCATATGTTTCCCCCTTTTCTCTTGGTCGGCTCCGTCTTGCTGTTCTGGATTTTTTACCCCGGAAAATATTAGTGGCGGTTACTTCATCGTAACGCAAAGGAAGTCTTGCAGGTGGCCTCTTAAAAGGTGACTGTGATATTTTCTTGTTGCCATCGAGGCAGTGTTAATGGGTGTCTTGTGTCGGGCATATTGCCGCGTGGAGACGTTTATAGCCGATCTATGTTTGTTTAAAGATGTTGTTGCCCTTTTAGGAGCTTCCTGTCAGATGGTAAAGCTGTTTCCTTGGGTGTACTATAACTCTAGGTCTTTCAGAGGGACAGCTATCTGAAATCATGGACCATGTTCGGTGGACTCGCCGACATACTGCTTTGCCAAACTACTCTGGAGATTCGGCTAAGCTGGCTTCAAGCGATGTGATGGACGTTAATAGGATCAACCTAAGGGTTTTGCGTTAATTTGTTTTTCCATCAGCCGGTTCACGGAAGAGATCCCAATCGGACTGATTAATTGAGCTGAACGTTTATTCATTTATAAGCTGGACATTTATTTTATTTAATATGTTTTTTTTTGGTAGTTTTGGGAAAGATTTTGGGAGAATTTTGTAAGGACTGGGGTGATTTCCTACAGACATAGGATTGTTACAAGATGTTTGTGGGGCTTATGAAAGTGAAAGATGAACAGTATGGCTTGGGGGCGCTGAGCAATATCATTCCCGTATCTTATTTAAACTGAGCGTGAATGAGAGTGTTGTGAAATAGATTACTAATTTAGTACACCCACAAATTCTGGGTGTTTGGTGGTCGTGTGACCGGCCGATTCCAGGGCCTTTTCTCGCCCCACCTCCAAAGCCAGGGAAAAGCGCCCTGGGGACGAGGTTGTGTCATGTTTAGATACCAAAATCTCACTGGTTCCTAAACATCAACGCATAGCACCTTCAACCTTATTGGCCCCTGTAACAGACACCCGAAGACACGAAGCCACAAAGCCACAAAGATACATACGCCCAAACCACTGACATACAAGCTATTTTTTCAAAATAGCTCAATAACTGTCAGAGCCTCGATTCTAATAGCAATAATTCACTTTGGCGTTTCTCGCTGACTTAGTCTCCAAATAAGCACATCCGGTCCAGTGAAGAAGAATTCGAGGGTTTTTTTTTTCAATAGTTTTAGTCAATAGTTACTGTGTACTCTGCATAGCTGGCAGTTTTTTCTCCTTTCCCACATAGCAGTAGTGATAGTGGCCCCTTCGAGTACTAACCAATCAGAGCGCAGCAAATTTTGTCTCGACCAATCAGAATCGAGTATTTTGCCCATGTGACTTATTGACGTCACAAATGCCCATATATGGGCATGATTTGACACGTGACCCCATGGAATAAAGAACACACGCACACAAGAGTTGAATCTGCATTTTTCACATAGTTTTAATGACCGCGTAAAGCCCTGGTGACAAGCGGGACGTATGTGACGCCCAAGTGACGTCACGCCCATTTACAAATCTAACAGAAGGTCGAGTTCATCCCCAATCCTCTCGTAGCCATAGGGATGACTGGATCGGGTAGCGACATCGATGACGCGCTTGTCAAACACCAACCCATACTGCTTCACGCGCGGAACCACTTGAATTTGTTTTTTCTCTAAATCTCGTTTGAAATAATAGGGGGTGGTAATGTTCAAATTTCGGCGAGAGTCCTGGGGCGAATCTAATTCCGAGAGAATATTTTCTTTCATCGTCTGAAAATTGAGAATGGCCGACCCACGGACGTTGAGCGTGAAACCGCGGACCTTGCACACCACTTTGCCACCACGGGTCTGGTACCCATAATTCTTGGCGCCCCCCGAAACGAACTCGGTGATGACGTCTCCGTCTAATTCATCGGTCATATCCCCCAAAAAATCACCCGTGGTGATGGAGGGTTGACCGGGACGCCACTTGTACACCACACTATCTGTGTCATAATAAAGGACTTGCTGTTGAAGGGTGTCCAGGGACTCATACAGCTTCAATCGAGCATGACAGGTGGTGAACGCCGCCACAAAGATATTGGTCTTGGTGCCTTTAACCGCATTGTCTTGGACACTGGTGTAGACGGCCTCTAAAATGTCGTCGGTACAGAGGCGGAGCGTGCTGAGATCGAGGGCTGCATCGGAGACGAGCCTGAACAAATCAGCGGGGTGTTGAACGGTGACGGTGGTGCGTTTGTTGATCCGCTCCCCGAATTTGCCCCAGAAACTATTGAGCATAAGCTTGGCGGTGGTCTTGCGACCGGGGTTTTTGGCAATGCTGGCAATGTCCAGTCGGATGCCTTCCCGTTCCTGGTAGCGAAGAATGTACTCGCGTTTTTGCTCAAGGGTCTGACACCAGCTGGGCCACCCTGCGGATTCTTGTTTGATCTTGAGCCAGGTGTTCACGTAATTGGCAAAAAGACCTGTTTGGCGTTGCTCGGGGGGAAAATGCCAGACTTCATGGATCTTGATCAGCGTGTACCCCTTTTCGACAGCTTTGACCAACTCGGGTGTGCACCAGGTGCCACGTAGCGTGCGATCCGCGTCAGAATGAGGGCAATAGCGGGTTCGGGTTAACATGGGTTGGGCCTGCTCGGTCTGAACACAGGCACGGCAGAGAGGAAACGTGAGCTTGTTGCAGCTACGTACGGGTAGAACAGGGTGGAACAAACCAATGGGAGGAAGAATATCCACCGTAGCGACACCAAAATAAGATTCCAGGGACTGGTCCGCAGGTTGCGTGATGATCCGTGGATGCCCAATGGGGTAGGGACAGTTCTTATTTACCCATGGGTACAAGGAGGTTACATCCACATAGCGTATTTCCTCGCCTTCTCCAGCCACGGCATGCAGAGCGACGGCACCGGTTCGACCCCCAAAGAAGGCTTCACGGGGTTCTAGGGGAGCCACCAGATCAAAGGACGTCAGGAAACGTTGAACGGCTTTATCGGTGTCCACCAGTTGGTCCCATTCACATTCCCACATTTCAATGACCGTGTAGCCCGCTCGGAGCAAGGTCTGGCGTTTGGAGAGCGTGGCTTGATACAGTTCCTCCACGGTTCGATCCGGTGTGGCATAATGTTTGGCGGTTCTTGCGGGATAACAACGGGGACAGCCGTGATAGAGACATCCATGAAATTCGTAGATGGTGCGAGTCACAGGATCGTAGCCATCCACGAAATGATTAATGGCACTGGTTCGGATCGACTGTTCGCCCCCGTTACGAACGTGCCGAATACGATCAGCACTGGCCCCCTCTTTGGGAATGAGATGTTCTTGGTAGTACAACCATTGGAGGGCTTTGAGGGATTGATTGACTTGGGCCCCTCGCCAACCCCCCAGAGGTTCCACCGCAATGGTGTCGGGGGTCAAATGATGCTTGCGCCAATACAGATTGCAGGCACTGGCAATGGTGATGCACTTGGCCATAGGGTTGAAGCCAGCCTGCTGTTCAAATTCTTGTTGAAAGGCTTCACACCCCGCTTTTAACAGGGCGACATCCGATTTGCAATAATCAATCATTTCTTGCTTGAAATGGAAGGGCACGTTCCGACGGACTTGATCGGCATGCCAACGGGTCAGTTCCTCTTTTTTTTTGGCCATCATTCCGTCAGGATCGTAAAACTCCAAATCGGGGATGCGGCCCACATATTGTTGGTGATCGGGGGTATTGAACAAATGGGGAAAGAACCCTTTTTTTAATTCGGTTAAATTAAAGGTGCTGGGAAAAGAGGCCAGCGGCATAGGCAAGAAACACAACGAGTCAATGAATTTGAGGGGTCCACTCTTGAACGACAGGACTTTAGCTCCTACGGTCAGCTGATCCTCGACCACGCGCTGTTGCTGGTACAATTCATGGAGAATAAACATACCATCAAACCCTTTCAAATTGTGAAACACCACGAGAATCGATCGCTCCTCCTCACTGTCCGGCACGTCCGTGAGATCATCCAAATCACGTAAAAATTGTAGGGCACAGTCCTCTCCGTCCAATACATGAATGGTGGTTTCGGCACTCGATGAATAACACAGTAAATTGGCTACAAACACCCCTTCCGCATTTTGCATGGCTTCGAAATCCGCATAAACAAACAGGGGAGGGGGTGGCGCCACCATGCGACCTCCCCCCTCCTCTGTGGGTTCAGTCTCCTCGTGCTCCTCCACCACAGGCTGAATGTAACACTTATGGTCCTGGATGGGCACCCATTCCTGACACACGGGGCATTTGGTGTACCCGCACTGATGACGTTGGTTGCGGATGACCGTGTATTGAGCTTGACACTTGCGACAGCATTGGATGGATTGACATTGCTTGCTGACTTCATGATAACGTTTGCATGGACTACCGTAAAACTTGCGGTGACACAGACTGCAATACTCAGTGGGGCGGGTGCCACGCACATAATCCGGACAATCAAAGCGCCCACACGCGGAGCAACGTCTCCCTTGACAAGTGTGATGAGTCCGATCGTTGGCGTTGAACCCTCGTTCACAGTCCACACAATAATAGGAGCGGTTGACAAACGCGGGAAAAGACGTGCAGCCATCAAAATGATCGTTGGATTTGAGTAAACGAATCTGATGAGGGGCAGCAGGGCCTTTGAAGATCAAAAAGAACGGTTTCATCCGGGTCATGACCAAGAGTTGATATTGAGACCCCAACACTTGTTGAAATTGACGAAGCTCGGGTAAACCACAGGGACCCTCTGCCACTCCCGCTTGCTGATGGAGGGCCTGGGCTTGACGTTGCTGCACAGGAAGACCACGTTTGAGATTCTCCCAGTCGCGAAACTCGTCCACGCCTTGATCTTTATGGCAATGGGCTCGCATGGTGACAATGGCACGAGCACAGCATAGGGTATCTCTGTTTTTGATGGAGATGATGCATTTCTTTTTCTTATTGACTCGATCCAAACATAATCGTCCTGCATTGAGTGTTTTTTTATGTCGACCAGACCCTGGGCCGGGCATGGAGACAAACACCACATCCACTTGGAACCCGCGATCGGGGTTGAAGGCTTCATTGCTATTCAACTTGCCAGCCAGGGTAGCTAACATCTCATCCAAACGAGCGGTGCGTTGTAAAAATTCCCCCACAGTGAAATTGGCAGTTTGATATGCGTGGGTGAACCCATGCGCTGTAATAGCAAAATTGACAAAATGATGGGCGGGTCGCTGTTCACGGCCGAGTTCCATTTCAATGGCTTGGTGTAATGCTTCCGTGAGTGCCATCCCAATATTATCCCCAGGCACAGGATCCCTCAATTGACGCAATTGCGCATTGAATTGCGCCCGCTCCACCATGTTACGCCAGTGGCGTCGTCGACCGATGGGTTGCATGGTGAATTGAAAAAGAGGGCCTCGGGCGGGAGCGGCCCCTCCCAACTGTTCCCACCGGTCATAGGCGCGGTTCAACAGAGCATCGTCCTCGTCACTGTCAGGATACCAAGAGTCTTCCGCCATGACGGAGGAGACAATTTGAATTTCCCGCGCCAGACGCTGGCTTTTATAGACCCCAAAAACACGTGATCAGATGAATGGGGATTGGTGGAGAGGGCTCAGGTGAGAGTCAGGTGAGAGTCAAGTGAGGGGTTGATTGGACAGGAGGAGGATTGAGGGGGGTGCCCCCCATGGGTACAGATTTTTCCAGTCTCCTCTGAGCCTGGAGCGAGATCAGTGATTGGCGGAGAGATGTCTAGATATAATCCAGCGTTCAGACCAGACGTCAGTTGTGTTCGAGAATGCCCAATCGAGACCCTGAAAAAGTGAAAGAGGCCAAGCACCAGTGGTACCTGAAACACAGGGAGAGGATTGCCGAACAGAAGCGTGAGAAGCGAGCGGCTCAGAGAAAACTCAAACCTCCCAAACCGCCTAAACCGCCTCCGACCCAGGAACAAATTGCCAGAGCCCGTGAATTGAATCGGTTGGCCTGCAACCGGTACCGTGCTAGCCACGCAGACCAAGTGCGGGCTGTGAACCGCAAATATTATCGTCGTCACCGCGACAAGATTGTGCAGCAACAACAGGACCGTCGTGCCCGAGTTCGGGAGACACCCAATCCCTTTAGAAAGTTACGTGCCTTGGCAGACGTGTGTGCCGCCAAAGTGTTGGAGTTAGAGCATGGATACACCAGGATCGCGCCAGCCCCCCAGGAGAAAAAAACGGGACCCTGAAAAAAACAAACAACAACAAAAAGCCTATCGTGAACGGCTGTATGCCAAAGTGAATGGGATCGAAGATGTCAAAGCCCTCCATCGTCGACGGTACCATGAACGGATGGCTCGTATGAAAGCCAATGGCGAATACGAGGCCTTTAAGGCCAAAAAGACCCAAGAGGGCATGCGGCGGTACTATGGTATGACCGAGGAACAGCGGACGGTGGTCAAACGTAAAAACAACCAATGCCAAAAAAATTGGAGGCAAAAAATGAAGGACCGGGGGACGTACGAGGCCTACCTACAGCGAACCAATGCAAAGCGGCGACAGCAAGCAGCCGAAAAAAGAAAAGAGATGGGTGAGGAAGGGTGGAAAGCGCTACAGAAACAGCGATACGAGAAACGGGTAGAAGCCATTCGTCGTCAACATTGGTCTTGGTTGGACGAAGCCTTGGAGCGTCCCTTTCCCCTCCCGTGGTTGCCTTTAGACTGGGCCGAGTCTGTGCCTGAAGAGGACAGGGTGCAAACCCTTCGCGCGGAGGCCTTGCAGACAATGGACATGTACTTGTAAGAACAAACAATGAAGTTTAATTAAAACATGTGTGTGATTTAACAAATGTTGTCTTTTTTATGACTAAGGGGTTTACATGCCCAATCGGAGTTTAGCTTTCATAATGCGTCTCACAATACGCTCTGTCAAGTTTTTGCTGCCGGGGAGTTGATCAATCTTGGCAATCATTTTGCGATCCGCGGCCCATTTGTCTTTCAAAGTCTTGGCTTTATCATAATCCATGTCGTGGACTTTTGCAATCCTGTCCAACCGGTTGATGCCGGGATCCCCACGGGCCAAGCGTTTTTTCAAATGGGTGCCAGGTCCCATATACTGATAACCGGGCCAATGAAATTCAATGCCGGTCTTGTTGAGGAGGTTCTGTACATCAAATAACTTGCCGCCCCGTTGCGAGCGTTGTCGTCGCCGCCTCGCTCGGGAACGGGGTGGAACACGGCGTTTCCGTCCCATATTAGGGGGTTTTCCACGATTTCCAATCCAAGGCTTTTTTGGCCCAACCAGCGGCTTTCTTTTTGGCGACACCCGCAGCTTTCTTTTTGGCACTGTCCGCGGCTCTTTTGCGAATCCCGCGCTTGAATGATTGCTTGATAGAGTCTACACGTTCTTTGGGGGTTTCCCACGGGGCTGTTCCAGGCGCCTCGGAAAAGGGCAACTCGTCCCCCAACTCGGCACTGCTCAATGGGGTGGTAAACTGGAGTTTCTTTTTGGCACTGGGCGTGAACCTTGGTTTGGGCGGGACAGGTGGTTTTCTGGGTCCACGCGTCGGGGTGCCTTGTTTTATACCCTGGGTGGCCTTGACCAATTGCGTGAACCAGGCTTGCATGGGACCCGCCTCAAAATCATCATCGCCGGGGGTCGTGGCCCCGGCGGCACTCACACCCCCAGCGGCAGCTCCAAACGGTTGGCGCACTTTTTTGGTCCAATGGCGTAATTGACGGCTCACGGCTTTGAGTTGAGGCCGTTTCCATGCATCGGGGACATCACTGGTCAGGAGTATATGTTGTTTGGCCGCTAAATCAGCGGCTTTGGTCAAACGGGTATCTTCTACCAATTCTTGTTTGTACTGGTCTCGTAATTGTAAAAAAGCTGGGGCGTTGTTCACCGTGGTGCTGACCATCTCGGGTTCCATGGTGCAACTGAGGGATCTTGTCTAGCGCATGCAACGTTTATAACATCGGTAGAGTTCCGGCCAGAGGGCACCCCCTGTTTGAGCCATCATGATGGCGCGTCGTCGTTTGACGGAATGAGCGGGTTTAGCCATGGCGCGTAAACTCTGGGCGTGGGGTTTGAGCAACGTGATGGTGTGTCGGGAACGGGGTACCGTGCCACGGAGGGTGTTCATCACCAATTCACTGACCGCAGTGATCTGATCCGCATTAGCCATCCGCAACAATTCTTGTCGTTTGTGTTGATTGGCTTCTTGTAAGACACTTTTCAAAAACGGGGCTTGACGTTCCATGCGCCACCCCATGATGAATCTTGAGTTCAGGCAACGACCAAGGTCTATTTATGGTAAAAATGGCACCACACCGACCACACAATTCGCCATGATAATGCGTTTGCATGTGATGTCGACACCGTGAACACAAGGCCGCGTCATACTGGTCATCCCAATCCAACGCAAACGTGACGGCTTTTCGTTGGGGTCGTCGTCGTCGGTTAGTCCGGGCGTCGAAGATGGACTCTGGGTTTGAGTTTCCGGAGCCACAAAGGCGAGAGAGCCATCGCCAAAAGCGGTAGCCTAGCGCCACGTTGGAGTCCACGTCGCCGGCGTCGTATTCGAGGGACATAACGATGTCGGCGACCGTTGGGTCCCCGGACCATCGTTCAATTGACTCTTATTCAGGCCCACAAAGGTCTTTTTATACGTTTTTTCACATAAGGGAACAATTAAACGATTCTCCTCCATAGGATTTCCGTTTGCCTGAAAGATAATCACGCCAGCGTTTATCGGATATTTTTTTGGCACGCTCTTGTTGATGCTCCCCGATGGCTTTGGTAATCCCATAGCCGGCTTTGCCAATCCCCACAATGAGTGCTGGCGAGACACCCCCCACTTGACTCACACGCCGTCGTCGTTTAGCGGGTCGTCGAGTCGTGGAGCGTTTACGTTTGCGTCTCATGACGACTCTTGTTTGAGAGCGGAACACCGTGTCCCTCTTTTTTATACATGTCACATCAAACTGCACCCACCCACTTTTTTGGCATACCCCTTTTTGACCAACCACTTGTTGTACGAGTCTTTAGTTCCACTCGCGCGATACTGGCGTTTATAATTGGCCACTCGTTGTTTGTCGGCCTGTATGTCAGCTTTGGACGGAATCTTCCACATAGCCGGGTCTGTCAACAACTTGAAGCCTTTTTTGATATCCACGACAAACGGTGCCTTTCCACCCTTGATCCTCCGTCGACGTGATGATCGTCGAGTCGTGGAGCGTTTGCGATGGCGCCTAGGGGCCATCGCGTGTCCACAACGACCACACATTTTTTGGGACAATAGATAAGAGACCCCTGTTTTTATACCTTTTTTCTGATTACGCAGACCTGGGACCTCGTCCACGGGCTCGGCCACGGCCACGGCCTCGTCCTCGACGTGGGGGTCGTGGGCCGGACGTGCGGGTGGACGTGCGGCGCACCGAAGGACGACCCCCCTCTTCGTAGACGGTGGTGACTGTATTGGTATGCGTGATGTTGCGGATGCGTCGGCCTCGAGCCCGTTCTTGAGCATCTTCATTGAGCAAATCCAATCGTCGCCTTAATCCTCGCCCTCGTTCGTCGTCATCATCATCTTCATCCTCGTCATCGGACGGAGGGGACGAATCGGGAGACGGTGGGGCAGGGGGACGTCGTCGCGGTTGTTTGGCGGCCACAGTGGGGCGTCCAGTGGGGGTCGTCACCGTGGAGGTGGTGGTCCTGGTGCCTGCCCCAGCACTGCGGCGAGAGGTGGAGGGACGGGAGGGAGCCGTGGTGGTCGTGGCGGTGGTAGCGGGGCGTGTTCGGGTGGAGGTGACGGGTCGTGGTCGACTGGTGGTGGTGCTGGTGGGGCGTGTTCGGGTGGACGTGGTAGGACGGGTTTGGGTGGCCGTGGTGGCGGGCGGTGCTGTGCCGGTACCCGCCACGGGCGGTAACGTGAACGCATTCAAGGCATCGTCCACATTGACCGGGTAGGTCAAATTAAAGGCGTCAATGTCTTGATCCAATTGAGCACGATCCACGGGTCGAGACAATTCGGCCACCATGTCCGTCATACTACTGAGATCCTGGGGTGGAGGGGGCGGTGCCGTGGGGGTGCCCACGCCCGCGGGCGAGAAGGTGGGCGTGTCCATGCGGGCGGCTAACTCAGTATGTTGTCCGCCTTCTCTTTGCCGACGAACCCTGGCGAGTTCTCGTTGCAGTTCGTTTTCGAACGGCAGGGACATCCGCACGCAAGGTGTGGACTTGTGCCTTGCCTTCTCGAGGCGTTAAATGACTCCACAGGCGGTAGCGATCATCCGACGCAGGATGCACATCCAACATCAAATAGCCAAAGGGACGGGCCGTGATGCGTTTAAATAGGCGCAAGACTTGACGCCACCGATCCGGAAAGGCTTGCAATAAAATGGTTCGGATGCCTGTTTGATCCCGGGGGTTTTTGAACGCCACAATGTAATGCGCGTTGCGATTGATGGTCTTGGAAAATTTGCCAGGCGGGAATAAATCTTGTGTCAAATACAGCACGGTGATGTTGCGATGATGCGAATCTTTGGTGAACAAATCCAACACGCGCTTGTCTTGTCCCCCTTCTTCCATCAGGTCGTCCAAGACCAGTACCCCTCCGCGCGTCCGACCAAACCATTGCGTCAAATGACGGGGGTCCGGTAACCCGCGATGAAATTGAATCCCATCTTTTTTTTGCATACGCTCAAACCGGGGTTGCCAACGATCATAGGCATACACAATCTTGCGGGGTTTGACTTGAAAGACGTTCAGGTACCGTAACCATTGTTCCACCAAGTCCGTCTTGCCACTGCCCGAGGGGCCCGCGATGATCACACTACTGGGTTGACGGATCATGATTCCCACGGTCGAGGGTGACGTCGATAATGACCTGTGGCCCCTTTAGCACCCATGCGTTTATACCGTTTGTCCCGTCCCAATTGGTCGCCAATTTTATACGCTTTGGCCAACACGCTCATGATGCCGCGCCCGTTTTGGCGAAAGCAGGGTCGTCGTCTGTGGTTGGGCATGTTGTCCAATAGTCGCGGTACAATCGTGGCGATTCACACTGAATCAGACGTTCCATGGTCTCTCTTAAATACGTTTCACTCATACTGTCCATGTACTGTTTGAGGGACACCCAGTCTTGGTCTTGCGCCAATTGTCGAGCCACTAACCAATGATACCCATCCCACGCGTCAATGCCTTGCACGGTGTTGATCCGCTCGATCGGATGTTCCCACCAATACAAGGTTTCTTCGAGAATAAACGCATCCACCACACGCTGCACATCGCTTCGCGTAATCATGATGAGAGACAATGACCACTCTTTCACGACACACCTCGTTTTATGGGTTTTATTCAACACTCACAATGATTACAAGTGATAAAGGCCTGGCGGCTCACATTCTTTTGCCCCCCGTTAGGACATCGGGCATCCACTTCATCTTGTAATTCCTGTTTAATCACCCGTTTCAACTGGTCGGCCACTTTCTGATCATTCAACACTAAATTGTCGCAACTCCATTGACTCAAAAATTCTTGATACGACTGTCCTTGCGCACGGGCTTTCAAGAAAAATAAAGCATAATGGCCGCAGGTTTGGCTATCCAAGGCTTGCAGGGTCTGGTCACTGCGCGTCAGGTACTTCCATTGACTCCACCATTGATGCAACTCCGGGTTGGTGTACACGTGCAGGGGTAGACCATAACTGTCAAAGATCTCGCACTGGTTCTTTTCTGTCCACAGCCCCAACCAATGCTGGCCCGGTTCTCCCGCTGGATCGGTATTGACAATATACGCTTGACGGATCTCTTTGGCGGGGGATCGGGGGAGTTGGTCGGCTGGGTGCACTCCATGAAACACGCGCCGTAAGGTGGGATCTTCCAGGGCCAGGGTCCGCAATACAGTATCACTGAGCGCCACAAACTCCATGCCCGGTGTCTTTTGACTTCTGAGGCTACTTTAGCCGTTGATGTTGTATTTTATACCTCCCAGATGATTGATCTCATACATGTTTTCATACTCGCTCCATACCAACACGGTGATGTTGTGACCGACCGCGGCAGCAAAATCAATCACTAGTCGCGTATTACCTGATTGGCGGGGGTTGCGATACTGGGGGTCATCGGCTTTTCCACTAGGCACATTGTTAAACATGAACAAGGTGCAGTTCTTGTCTTGTCCCCAATCACCAGGCAGCAACATGGGGATCTTGTCTTCATTGTAGGCACCCATGGCTTGTAGAAATCGATCGTAGCCCAGCAAATCTTCATAGGCTTGGTCTCCAGTTAGTTGCAGGGTTCTGTAAGGGTATTCTTCTCCATTCAAGGTCTGTCGTACTTGGGTGACACCAAACTTTTCAAAGGCAAAGGGGTATCTGGTGAGGTCTCCATTGAAGGTGTTGGAATGCAATAACCCCACCATCACTCGGTCAGGAAATCGACCCACAAACACATTGTCTTGTTCCCACTGAGTGGTGCGACCATCAAAGGAAAACGTGCGAATTTCGCTCCGCACGACAGGGTAGCGGGCAATCTGTTTGTTCAGCTGTCTTTCTTTCTGCAGTCTGACATAGACGCTGGCATTCAGGGTCACTTTTCTCATCAATAAGGTGACTTTGATGTCATCATTGTGGATGGCTGGAAATTTCTTGGCGTTCAAGGTGCCTTTGTTAGGGGTGCCCATCAGGTAGACGGTGTTGGGGTTGAGGAAGAGTTCAAAGTCCATCTGGATATTGGGGACCAACAATTTGCCTGTCTTGAGGGGTGGCAAATGGGGACGAACGATGAAGGTGTGCCAATTTTCACCCAGCAATCGGCTGGTCAGGGATCGCAATTCTGTATTGCCACTCCAATCCGCGCCCGTGGGCACATCCGAATTGGCTCCTGTAGCTCCCATTTCTTCAATCACATTGAGCTGATTGACCCATCCTTGGGGGGCTAGCTTGGTGGCTCCTTCCTCTCGGTTGTAATTCAGCAGGGTTTCTACGTAGGCTCTGTAATGGTAAGTGTTGCTCTGTTCAGTCATGAGGACGCCATTCATGCTCATGGTGATATCTCGAAAGATGGTGTGACCGAAATTGTTGACGCAGTAGGTGTTTCTGGAATTGTTGGCATCGGAGTTGGCCAGATTGGCCACCAACCCATTGTACCCAGCGGCAGGATCGGTCAGGCGCACTTTGACTTTGAAGCGGAGGGAATTGGTATCGTAATAATCGTCGGAGCCTGGAATGGAGAAGGTGATGGGTTGAATGCCTGTCAAGGCGGGTTGAAATTCCACCTCCCGCGAGGCTTCGTACCGATAATCCACATCGGGCACGTCAAAGAGTTCGAGCGACATGATGCGATCTGTCCAGGTGGTTCAACGGCGTCCTCTTTTTATACCTTTTCGCCTACGTTGCTTCCTGGCTTTGGCTTGGTTGGCCCACAACACTTTTCGGAGATCCCCCGGTCCAAAGATCGTGCCCCCTTTCATGCGGCGCAGGGCTTGCTCCACTCTCCAGGGTGCGGGGTTGATCCCATCTGTCGCCGTGGGGAACCCCAAAGGATTATTATTGCGCCTGCGGGTAAAAATCGTACCCCCTTTCATGCGGCGCAGGGCTTGCTTCACCCTCCAGGGTGCAGGGTTGATCCGGTCCGGGGCAGTGGGAAACCCCAAAGGATTATTATTGCGTCTGCGGGTAAAAATCGTACCCCCTTTCATCTTGTGGCGTTGTTTCACGTGTTTCAGGACCATGGGATCCAATAGGCGAGACGACGTGTGCATCAACGGATAGCGTGCCATGGTTGACTTGCCAAAGATCGTGCCCCCCACTTGATACGGTGAAATAAACCGTCCACGGGCGCGTTGCCGTCGAATACGATTTTGCGATTTGAGAAAACCTCCTACACGTACCATTTTTTACAGTCCAAAGATATCCCGTACACGTTGCGTGGCTCTTTTATAGGTATTTTGGGCGGTCCGTTTGACCTTGTGTTTGCCAGCTGTCCAAGCCATGGCGGGGGCTTTGCGTTTCAATCCACGGCTGAGTTGGGCACTTCGATCCGCCCAGGTGGCCGCGGCACTCTTGCCACGTTGAATGTCTTGCAGTCCCGCTTGAGCTTGTTGCACGATCAGGGGTCCTGCCAGTTTGATCAAGTCTTCGGCTAACCCTTTCCCCTTTTGCTTGGTGAGCACGGGCGTGTGGTACCGCGTTAAACTGCCTCCGCGCATGGTTCACGTCGTGGTGCTTTTTGGACCTTCCAGAGACGTGGGTGGGTTTTTTATAGCTTTTTGAGACCAATGGTCACCAGGGTTTTGCCCGGGGGTAAAACGGCCAGGGGTCCACTGGTACTGGCAATCTCCACTTCCAAGATATCCAATTGTTGGCCTCGTAGTTTGATCCATTGGTGGTGTAGGGGTTCTGCCGTACTTTCCCCATCCCCCGTTCTCAACAATTGCACTTCCCGCAACAGGGGAAACTTGCCACTGCCCACCACGGTGGATTCGACGAGATCCGAATAGACCATCACGGTACGTTTGCGAGTCCCCACGATCTTTTCAAACGAGGCATCCAGGTTATTCAACCGCCATTCAAACGCCTGGTGCAATCTCATCCACTTCACATTGTCCAGGGTCACAATGAAAAAGGCTCGGCTGGTGAAGTTGACGCCCTCATACACTTCCCCTTCCCAATTGTAATAGGTTCGATAGCGACTCCCGACGGGACCTGTGGTCTCATCATAGGTCTTGGTGGGTAGAGAATATTGCAGATTCGGCCCTATCAGATAATCGTTTTGGCTGCTTCCAGTCTTGCCTGTCTTGATGCGCAGCAAACCAAATTTGAGAGCAATGTCCACGTTGATGTAAAACTCCACCATGTTGACTTGAGCCATGTTTAATAATTCCTCTTTGGCAATCGCGTCAATCACTAGGGACTCTCCTTGCCATCTCAGTTGGGGCAAGCCGCGTTTTTTGAGAAACACAATGGGTTTTCTGTCGGATTCTTTGATCAGTTTGCTCCATTGATCTTTCATCGCAGTGTACATGATGAAGTTATGCATGGTTTGCATCACGCGTTTCCAAAATTGAATCCCCGTCGACACAATTTGAGTTGGATTCATGACATCTTCCAATTCGATCATACCGGTCACCTTTGGGACCTCTATGCTCGAATACCCTGAGGTCGATGGGTCGCCCGTGTCTGTCCATTTGCGCACCATTTGCGGATAGGTGTATCGGACCACTTTGGTATGTGGATCCGCCGCAATGATGGCATTGCTCTGGCCTTGATCCGGCACAGTCAGGGACATCAACGAGGCATGCCAGCCTTCGCCTGGTAAGCTCAGGCGTTCGGGCAGACGAACCTTGAAACTGTTGTTGGCATTGTTGGGAAACTCGTCGGTCGGATCGCTGATGAGCGTCAGGCGTTTAATCTCACTCATAATGATGAAGAAGAGGCACGTCCCCGAGGGTGCAGGGTCCTTTTATAGCCAAGTAGCCACTTTCTGTTTACTGCGAGGGACACGTCCCACCACTGAATTAAAGGTCGATTGTTTGGGATGAAAACACACTTGCTGGGCAATGTTGGGAAAAGCCCGGGCCAGTTCCATCAGGGTCATACAGGTCTTGGGTTTAGGGGGTTTCTTCTTGCGCATGGGTGGATGACGTCCGGCGCGTCGGCGTTGTTGTTTTTTCTTGGGTGGGGACCGTAAGGCCCCTCGTTTCTTGGCATACTCTTCGGCTCGATGGTAAGCATTGGCGTAGGCCCATTGCTGCTTGGTAGGGCTGGCCAACTTGTCCCACCACGGTTGGGTTTGTCGTTGTTCGGCGGCTTTTTTCTGGATGAATCTCAGGACGTCCGCGTCACTAGAGGGAGAGGGCGTGTAACTGGCCCGCGGGCGACTGGAATCCGCCTGGACTTCATCGAGAAACCGCACCCGCTTTTTTCTTTTTCGAGGCGTTATTTTGACGCGAACCATGTTGCGCAGGAATCCAACTATCGTACTTGGCTGGCCACCCTTTCCACCGAACCAAGACCTGACGTCCTTGGCGTTTCAAGACTTTTTCGATTCGAAATAACGAATCGTCCGATACTTGGACTTTTTGGACATCGGGTTCGTAAAACGTGCCTTTTATAGGCGTGCCGTCCCATTCACTGAGTCGATAGGTGACCACGGGATGACGACGCACGTGGGTGACCACAAACACTTCTTCCGTCCAGCCCGGCAAATACCCTTTTTTGAAGGGACGATGTTTCTTGTTGAGACGTACCCGATCGCCCACGCGACATTTAGGCGGGGGGATCTTGGGCTTCAACCGTGCTCCATAGAGTCGATCCCATACCTCGGACTCGTTTCGAAAGGTGACTTGATGCGGCGCTAACCCAATACTGCGATGATACGCGTGATTGTAGGTATAGATTAAGGGTTGTAAGACGTCCACGTACCGTAACGTATTGTGCGCGGTAAAATACCGGTACATGCGTTGTTTCAAGGTACGATGCCATCGTTCCACCACCGAGGCCTTGCTATCCCCATACGTGTAAAAATGATGCCATCCATGTTTCTTGAACCAGGCTTGGACCTTTCGATTCAAAAATTCTTGGCCTTGATCCGTTTGTACGCGGAGGGGTCGACGTGGTGAGGCGCGTCGGCGTATCGATTCCAACCCTTTGATCATGTTGGCGGCACTCTTCGATTTGATGGGGACGGCCCAGGCATACTTGGACAAGACGTCGATGACCGTTAACAAATATTTGTGGCCTTGGTTCCACCGACTGAGTTTTTGCATATCCACTAAATCCATCTGCCATTGTTCGTCTCGGCCAAAGACCAACGTGGGCGTGGTGGGAAATCGGGTCCGTCGGGGTTTGTGGAGCGTATAGCTCAACACGGATTGAAGAATCCGTTGCGCTTGCGGGGTTTTCAATTTATGGGCTCGGGCAAAGGGTTGGACCCCACCCAAGGCCCCAGGTTCTTGGGGATCTTCGTAAGCGCGTGGCAACGACATCAAGACACTGACACAGGATTCAAGTCCAATTCTGTCTTTAATAGTTTTTTTCACACACACCTTACATGATTTTTCAAAACAAGATCGAGCTACCAAAGTTCTTATGAAAATGGCGTCTTCTCTCAAACGCGTTCTCCTGGGCTTTGACAGAATCGCCAAACTGTTTCATCCACGGATCATACTTTATCTTTTCTATCACGGGGTTTGGCTTCTCCCTATGGTACATCTCTACCTGGTGCATTCCCCAGGGTCGGGGTTTCTCCATCTCTGGGCCTTTCAAAAGAGGGAGGGACTCCTTGACCCAACGTCTCAGGGTCGGTTGCGCTTGTTCTCGGGGACACCACAGGGGACCATGGAGCCATTGAAAGTAACCACAGGGTTCAGCATGGGTGAGAAAGCTCCCACAACTAAAAAACACTTTCTGGTAATTCTTGGCGGTGCGACTCAATTTCATCTTGGGGACAAACCCACACTTGCACTTGAGCTCTCCGTGTTTGATTCGGGCATGGACTTGAGGATGCGTGTCTTTTTTCAAGGCCTCCATCATTACCTCCCGCGTGTCTTCAAACAAATAGACCGGACACCCTTCTTGGGGACACTTGAACCGTAAGGGACCAAATTGGGCTTGGGGGTTGACACATTCCAGGAATCGCTGGGGATGAAACGGGCATGATTCATACAGGAGTTGGTTGAACTGAGTGTCCATCTCGTCCAGGATTTCCCATTCCCCTACTTCTGTCGCGGGATCCGAATGAAACGTCCCTTCCTCCACACATTCTTCTTTATAATCTTTCAGGGTACCCTCCATCAACTCGTTCACGGATTGGTCGGTGGGGGAGGGTGTGGGCACGGGCGTTGGGGCATCTGCTTTAGGCAAGGCGTTGAGAGCAATCACCAGTTCACTGGTAGGGGGTTGAGTGGCTTTCTCCTCCTCCTCTTGTTTTTGTTTCTTACTGACACGACGTCGTTTGCGTCCTGAAGGCACAGCGGCAGGTTGAGTGGCTTGACGATCCATCCCCTTGACTGAATGAATGACTCCAAGGGAGCATCTGGCCGGCCTTTTATAGCCCCTCCTCCAGCCTCTCGTGATGCTCATACGATCTGGGTCTCCACCAATCCGGACTCGTCCTGTACTCTCGTGAGTGTGGTGTGATCAGACGATCCACCAATCAGCGACCGCCTTAGTGGCTATAAAACCAGCCATGCATCCAAGATCCCTCTCATTCATCGCAGTCAACATTGAAAACGGTAAGCATGGCGCTCCATCAAGTGGGTCTCTTGGTATACAGTCAGGGGTTTGCCCTCTCCCGAGATGAATATATTATTCGAGAACTGGCGTTTTGCGATTG